CCATTTTCGATCTGTTCAATCTCACCAATTCGAAACACGGTATGCATCGAGAAGAGCACCTCTCTTTCCATGTCCGAGTAATAACTAATATTGTTCAGCTGAGCAAAAGGAGTCGAAGTGAGCGCAGGATCAATTTCCATTTGAAAGAGAATCGCCGTCAAATCAGGATTGTATTGTGCCATTTTGGTATATTGCAGAGAGACTTGTCGATTTGTGCTTGTCGATAAGAAATTGTTGAAAGAAAGTAGACCACCTTTGTTCTTTCGAATCTTTCCAAATTCATCATGTAATATGCTCTGACCACGGTAAACAGTCAGCGGACGTTGTTTATCGGACGTCAAATAAATTTGTTCGATTTGTACATGCAGATCGCGTATGAAAAATCCCATCTTAATAATGATTCCAATGTCTTGCGTACGAAGTGCTTTGTTCAACATCCAATAAGTGAAACATTCGCGAGTGTACCACCAGATAGGTGAATGATGTTCGTAGTGTTCTTCGAATTCGTCGATGACCTTCAATTCGGCGGTATTGCCACGGTACTGAATTCGACAAAAGTCGACCAGTTCCCTTTTCAGATCAGTCTCGTACTTTAATTCGAGAAGAATTTCTTTAAGTAGTTGTGAGTACATGAATGATTGATCGAGTTCGTTCAAATCTTTGCTCGACGAATTAGTTGCAGTGAGGATACTGATCGGTGTTAAATTGTTGTCACATTGTTCAACATCTAGTTTGAGCGAATGGCAAATGTGCTCGATCTGAGTGAAGACTCCTTTCACTTTGCTCCATTCCTTTGCCCACAGTTCATATTTTGATTTATTGCCACAAAATACATAGATCGATTCGACTTTAGGGATGCATTGAATGTGTGGCAGGATTGTTTGGGCAAAAGCACCGGATACTATCATAAATACTTTTTCATCTTTAATCTGAGTTAGAAAATCGATGCATGAGTTGATATTAGTGAATGTTTTTATCACATTGACAATATGTCGTAGGCTGGTAATAGATTTTTGGTAGTCATTGTTAGTTTCATTTATGTTCGAATCTAACCAAATAACAATGAAATTCTCGATCAAACCAGTTGACGAATTATTTGATGAGATACTCTTGCTCGTGGACTTTTCTTGTTTACTGGATTGTTTCGAAGATGTAGCGTCAGTTTGAGCGAGTTTCAGCATTTTCTTTGTCTTGTTCACGGAGACAGTGCTTGGTTTTAGCATAGTATTCCCTTGTTTCGTCGTAGCGATATTCATTTTATAATTTTTCTGCGCCATCCTACACTAAATGTTAATGCCGTCCCACTTGATGTTTTCGTTCTCTCACTATTTTATGTACTTTGTTGTTTTGGTCTGAACAAAAGAAATCTCTTGTAACACGTGCTTTTTTTCTGTCATCAAAAGTGAAAATTCACTTTTCATCACCATCATCAATATTGTTCTGTTGCTTTGCATTGCTTTTCTGTTGACACTGTTGTTGTGATAAGAGGCATAAGTGTAACAGAGCAACGGCTAGAAACAGAACTCCATTGTCAATACAGAACAAAATTATAAATAAGTTTAATGCGCATTTTTTCTCCATTATGAAAGCCATTCATGTACAATAGTTTAGCTAACTCATGACTACGTTCTCCAATCGGACATAAAATAATTTTCAGATCATCTCAGTCCATTGAGTTTCATTAGTTGATACACTATGTTGCTAATGTTTCGTTTCATCTTACGAGGGAACTACCCGAGGTGCTAAAAATCTTTTGAATTGGGGATGTGATGGTTAGATAGGGCATAGCTAAGAGTGATATACCCTAAGGTAGTTCGTCCTCAAGTTGCTTCTGGCATGAGTTATCAATTTTTCAAGTTATAAACAAAATGTGCGTTTTTCTCCCTAAATCTTTTTTCAAAGAAGGAATAACGTATTAAACTGAGATGTTTGTTATATCTATCTCGACCAATAGTCTTTTTTATTTGAAAGTTTCATCTCAAAAGAACATAGATATAAGCAGAAAGACAATTTTTAAAACTTTTCTTAACTTAATAGATTTTCATGTTTCATTACTTAATGACAAAAGCATCGTTTGCACATATTTTTTCAGTCTATTCTCGAGTTAAGATAGACTATCTGTTAAAGAGACGTAACATTGCTCCCTTCTTTTTTTGCCAGATCTGAAAAATATACTTTTGTAAATGGCCTTGTTTTTTATATTCTAGTATGTATGCGTGAATATTAAAGACAAAGGACAAAAATTAAAAAAATCATTAAAAAATGGTACATGTTTCATAAGTCAGACACCATGAGTATGATACTTAAGAAAAAAGTCTTGTAAACATAATGTTTTGTTGCAATAGCTACATCCAATGAACGTGAATTGATCGCATGAAGGCGTGTTGCAGTAATCTTGTTTAAATTTAAAACATACTTATGTCATCGTCTGGAAAGGACGAGAATCAACATCAGACAATTGAAAAAAACATGTACAAACGATGCTTTTGTCATTAAGTAATGAAACATGAAAAGCTATTAAGTTAAGAAAAAGTTTTAAAAATTGTCTTTCTGCTTATATCTGTGTTCTTTTGAGGTGAAACTTTCAAATAAAAAAGACTATTGGTCGAGATAGATATAACAAACATTTCAGTTTAATACGTTATTCCTTCTTTGAAAAAAGATTTAGGGAGAAAAACGCACATTTTGTTTATAACTTGAAAAATTCAGAACTCCTGCCAGAAGCAACTTGAGGACGAACTGCTTTAGGGTTAGCTATGCCCTATCTAACCATCACATCCCCAATCTAAAAGGTTTTTAGCACCTTGGTTAGTTCCTTCGTTAGTTGGAAAGTTAGACTTATTTTAAATGAATGCAGCAAATAAAGTATGAGAATTTTCCTTGAAGTATACTTGACGTTGAATCTAATAGATATCGCCTTCGGTACCAGACATAGAATATAAAGACTGCTGTCATTGAAATGAGATGAATAATGGTGGTGATGCCTTATCATCCATTTTGACCGTTTTTTTCGCTACTCAAAAATCATAGCATATCTTCTAAGAATATCCTCCTGCTGTGATTCTCTCATATACTTTCGCTACGATAAAATCAATTAATCAACTTAGATAACTGTACTAGATGCAGTAGTCAACTTAATTCTTTGTGTATCGACCAATCACAATGTACAAAACAAAAACCATTTCATAAACGTCAAATTCACGGACATAACTATTGATAAAAACTGAAGTTGTAGTAAAAATTCAAAGATTAAACGAGTTCATAAAAAGAAATGAATTCAAGACATATGTTCGAAAATATACAACAGTTAAGTGCTACTTTTCTGTGATCATATAGTCATGTCTTGTACTCAACAATCAAGAAATACTTGGGGAGAATTCATTGACTGAAAACTATACATCCTAATTTTACTTTAGTTCCTCTAAAGAAAGCCTAGTCTGATTAAGATCCTTTCAAGAGCTATTTGAGCTGACTTAGCTATAGATCATTAATCGATCTCGAATGAACAAAGCATTGAAATGTCTATAATGATTTGTATGGTGGTGTTAGTCTCTGAAAATTATGATTTCTACAAGGTTATAATATCAAGGAGGAACACTTGAACTATTTCGACAATTTCAAACTGATAACTAACTAGAAAACAAGCAATTGTTTTTTTTAAGACATTTCAATGAACATAGACAATGACTATCATCATTAGAGAGAATGTTTGTCTTTCATGTTTCACGGCATTTCATATATCTTTGGAGAAAATCCAAGTGGGTCGACAGAATCTCTGATCGATAATAGCCAATTATAATTGACTTTTGAATTAAACATGAGTTCATAATGATCAAACATACTGGAATCTCATGAAAATCCTAGTGATTCATAATTGAGTTTAGTCAAAATTTTATATCAGTGAAAAATGTGTAAATCTATTTCAACATGAATCTTCTAGTTCACAAAATCGCTCCGTCTGATTAAATAAAGGTTTGTTTGTAAATTGACATTCTGTTTGTGATAAACATTCATATGCGCAATAACATGCAGCGTTGATGCATTCATCGATCGATCCATCCAAAGACCAATATGCTAGAAAACCTAAACAGAAATATATTACAAATAGAAATCAACTCATTGTGTATCTACCTCCAACAAACGCATCGCCACATCCGATAGTATCGACGATTTTTGAGAGTCGTTTAACAGCAAATACTTTCACACCATGATCTATACAATGAATAACGTAGAAAATCAATTTTTCTTTGTTTTTATCGATCTTACTTGATGCTAGAATAATTGGATCAGCACCATGAGTTACTATCACACATGTTTTGGTATTCTTTATCAACAATTTCTGTAGTTCTCTAGCGATGGGTAATATATCATCATTTGTCTAAATAAGATTTTCTTTTCTATTGTTGAATAGCAACAGAATAGATGTTAGACACATACATTGTTTTTCATCTGATATTGAGCAAAACATTTTACTTCCTAAAAGAAACTAATTTTATTATTTATCCTATATCATTTTTCATGATAAATAAATTATTCGAATTTTTTCATGCCACCCTACCTGTTCATTTCCAAATAGGAAATCAATAAAAGGTAATAATTGCATAAGTATATCACCAAATTTTTGACAAATATATTCAGCTGATAAATTGAGAGCAAATATTTTCTTTGTATTTGCAGCATGTCGAGCCAATTTGAACACTGCTTCTGGACAAGTTCGAACAAAATATCCCTAGGAAATATTTCATTGATATTATTATCTAATATTCAAACAAATCTCACCGGTATGTAGAATAATTTTGCTCGCTCAACGTACAACCAATTTTCTGATTTATTCAAATAATCAATTGTAAATCTATTTGCTGCACCAAGATCTGTTATCATCGATCTAAGTCAAGAAAATAAAGTGAAGTATTTGATTAAAAATTAACGTTATTTACCTGGCTTGTTCTGTTATTAAAATAAGACATGTTGCCGTAGGCGAATCAGAAGTTTTCTGATATAAACAATTCTCCATTTGCTCCTCCAATATTTTACCGGACTCATCATTCCCAATGCAACCCATACAAACAGTGATATTGGGTCGGTCAAGTAGCCACTAGATAAATGAAAAAGAATCTTTCGATTTATCGAAAAATTATTCTTACATTGATCGTTCTTAATGTATTTTGTGTCGAACCACCAGCATTATAATTCAAATGATAATTTCCATTAGTAAAGATTTCTTTTAATCTTTATAAAAACGAAAACCAAAAACATACTAATGATTGAATTTAGAAACATGACTATACTTGCATTTCATCGTATTTGGTCACGTTTTGCGCTAAAACAGCATTGTTTGCTTGCAAATTATATCTTGAAAACAAACGCAGAGCTTGTTTAGATATATGTGCATTAGATTCATATTATTACCGTTGGAGAAATTCGTTTGAGACGTGTGTGCTAACGTCCAACATTGGATGACCAAGCCCAAAAAATGTACCATCACTATTAAATTCGAATATATTGCGTAGGAGTACGATTGAATTCTTTCGTGTAAAACTGACCTCAACTGTGTATTGACTATTGATGCCATGTGGAAAACTAAAGCCGAAATCAGTTGATGACATAAAAAGAAGCCTTACATTCTTTCTGTTCTTTTTCTTTTTTTTTTATCTTTGTTTCATTCTCCTCGTTTCTTTCATTATCTTTACAATCGGAGAAAAGAATCCAATGCGAATGATATGCTGGCCACGTGGGATTTTTTTCGTATTTATAGTTACATGCATAGTATTTGATTCGGTGTGGAAGAAAAAAGAAAAAATGCAATGCAAATTGACCGTTGTATCATACGATTGCAATATTAACAAGCCGTATTGGTATGATTCTCTCAACCAATCGAACTTTGTTCAATAAGAAAGAAAATATAATAGGTGGCAGACTACTACAATACTCTTCTTTAAAAAATTGCTCCGCTTGAAACGACGATTGTGCCGTGCACTGGGAAACATTTGCGTGAAGAATGTAAAGCAAGATCACAACGATGTCGAGTCTGCCCTAGAAGAAATATCAAGATGCACATAATGCGATGGAGAACACTCATATAAAATTTGTCATGCAAAAAATTCACTGTTAATTCCTTTCTGCTCCATTACGAAAAGTACACAAGGTACTTATTACTTATTCGTAATGGAATACAAAGTACTTAGTAGTGACTTTTTTTTGCATCACAAGTCTTACATGGGTACCCTTTCGTGCTTACTCTGCTGCAGCAGTTTTTATTACTTACTTTGATATAGTACTTTTTAGTATCGAATTTCACTTTTTTCATTTCTCAAGGCTAGATTCGAACTTTTTAAGTTAATTCCTTCACTTTTCTTGACATCTTCGAATCCGAAAATACGTATACAAATTATTTGACCAAATCTCTTTACAAAAATGTATGGACGAAGCTATCTTATGAATTGATCGAGACTAAGATTATGCAATTACAACTTGAAAGTACTTTTCTTTCTCGAAACTTAAACTGACTTTAGTGATAAGTTGTTGATAGCAGCTTTCTATACAAGATAGATAAACTTACTTTTTCACGAAGCAATCGAAATCACTTAGAAAATCCGTAATCCAAAAGGAGTTTCTAGTGGTACAGTAAAAACAAATACATAAGAACTGATGTACTTTAAAGTACTTATAGGAAAGTAAATCTGATAGTAGTTTTGGCAATTAAATCAAATATATTTGCTGAAATAGTGATGAAGTAATATTAAGCATTTATTTTATGAGAAAGTTTTCTGACTAGTGAAAGAAAGCACTTTTGAAAACGAGAAATAGTGAAAAAATCAACTAGGTTTCACTTTGATACCGAGGATAGTACTTTTTTATTGAAAATCATTGCTTACTTATTACATGGGTACAAAATATTCATACTGTTGAAAAGTGTGTCTATTTCGAGTATCCAAACGTAAAATGCCACTTCATGTATTTTCCGAACTTGCAGTTATAGCTTGTAAAGCCAACGCATATTTTATCTATGTCTATTGTATTCTTATTAATACTTTTTTATTTAAATAAATTTTATTTTAATTTGATCTGAAACAAATGTTTTTCACCATTGAGAGAAAAACTGAGTTCAAAGCATCGCAATGTTTGAAACAAAAATAATTCAACAAGTGGAAAAGCTCTATTCGCTACCGAGTTTGACGGATGCTAATTCTATTATACCGCACTAAATAACTAGAATCATAAATATCTCTGTAGAATGCTACTAAGTACGTATGCGCTCTAGGTACGCAACACTACTACTATGGTGTTGCAACAGTATTTTAATGCACTAAAGTCATATGTAATGATTAGTACTTTTCATGGTTTCTAATTATCTATCAGTTGAAAATGAGTGACCAATATAACTCACCTCTCTAAGTCTAGAAAGTACTGTGAATTAGTTCCTTATACACCAGAAGTACAATAAAGTACTTTTGAAAGTATAAAGCTTAATATTATATACTTTACGATTTCGAAAAGTATTATTAAGTAGTCTTAATCAGATCAAAAGTTGTTCGAATCACTTTCAAAAGATTCAGAAATACAATAAAATACTTTAGAAAGTGTAAAAATTAACATAGCAAACTTCGTAAATTGAAAAAATAGTATTAAGTACTTTCATAAGTACAAAAGGTATACGTCAAAGTAATAAAAGGGTAGAAGAAAAATTTGATAAGATCGATTCCAAATTGAACCAAACAGTCTTTGATAAATTGCATGATCTAAAAACTAATTTATGCAACGACTATGAAATAAGACATAAACATGCAGCATCACCATCCATTCAAAATAAACGACTCACAACGTGGATAAAAATGAACAGCGATGATGTATTGATCATAAGCAATTGTAAATACATAGTTTTTAATATTTCGCTTAATCCTTTCCCACGTCCTTTTTCTCTACAAATGTCTGTTTCACCAATCCAGTAGAATAAACGATGCACCAGTTAGGGTAATGGAATTTTTCAGCAGGTAATCAAAAATTAGTGACTGAACTCTTGAATGAATGGTATTCTAGTAAATCCTTGAATTCATTGCTAAGCCAATGGGAAAATAATAATATAATTATTCCTAACAGCATTAATGCAACTTTAAAACTGATATATTACAATATCGAAGGATGGGGCATATGAGGGCTTGAAGTTATTGAATTAGTATACAAAATGGAGGCAGGCATCCATATACATATTCACTGAAATGAGGGAGCTATAGAATTCAAATAAACTGCCACATTTCAACATATTTTATCAAAAAGGTACCAATCAAGTGGAGGCATGTGTAAAGCAGTGGGAAAACATCTCAAGACGTCGTGTATCAAGATGATATATTCAATACAGTAGTTACCGATATTACAGGACTCTCAGAACCGATGTCAGTTGCATAGCAGCTTGATGTACAACATAGATTTATCCTTTTCAAATACGACACCTATTTTATGTAAAACATTATATTTCGACACTAGGGATCACTGACCTCTTGTTCTGACTTGTGAAAATATTTTTTTCGATATAAGAAGCATTTTCTCCTATACCGATTGGAAGGCGTTTGAGCCAATTTCAGTTCTACTTCAAACATTTTGGATAAAAGAATGAAAGAGAAGAACAGTAAATGAATGGTATTGTCAGCAGGTGCATTTGATCGCAGCTGTCAAGAGCAGACTAACGAAATGGAAGCAAAAAGTGAATTATATTATCGAGAAATTAAAAGAAATCAGAAAAATAAGACGATAAATATTATCATCTACGTCAAAGAGGCATCTTGTATGAAGAAACAAAAGTGCTTCTGCAAGTCTTATCCAGAGAAGTAGAAAATGAAATAGGAAAGTATAAAATGATTCAATGGCAAGATTTTTTAGTCATAATTCAACAGATACATGATAATAAGAATGAAATGTTTTGATCGTATGCGTATCGTATCTATAAATGACGCACACAACCATTTTATAAACTACTGAGTACTAATAAAGTACTATCAGAACAACATAAAATTATGAAAGAATTACATACATATTACAGCGAACAGTTCACGATACCCTCGATCGATTAGTCATATGTACATGAAGTGAAAATTGATAGTGAATGCAATGAAATATTGAGTATATTATGAAACTCAAATGAATCAATGGAGAAAACAAGTCTTAAAGAAACCAGACGATTAATTCGCTCTCTTAAACTGAAAAAAATCAGCAGGCTATGATCAGATTTCGAACTTTATGATCAAGAGACTTCCTATGAGTTATAGCTAATGCCTTGTTAATCGTTTCAGCCACTAGCTAAGCGAATACAGATATATAGATGAATGCAAATTAGCAAAAATAATAATTCTAAATAAATTAAAAGCAAGTATTCCAAAAAACTTTTTGGACAGAGACGAACCAAATGGTGCGAGTAGATCAATCAAAATTTCGTTCAAGATATATTCTACCTAGAACGGTTTTATCAGTTTATCAAGAAGTTAAAAAACTGCATGGCTGCCAACATACTAGCATTAGCTTTCTATATGGATTATCAGAAGGTCTATGATTGTGTATAGCATATGACTCTTTTGACTAAACTGTGGAGACTAAGGATATCCAGAAGTATGTTGAAAATGATAGTATTCTGGTTAAAAGATAGAAGATTGTAGCATCGATGATCGAATACTTAGAAAAAGAAGGTAGGCGAGTGTACAATCGAATATTTGCGTACTCAAAAAATTGAAAACAACTTATAAATGTGTCAAAAATAGTGGCACAGGTGTTGTATACACAAATAAGAAAGCTAAGGGTGTCCATAGAAATAAATGAGCAAAAATATCGAACTAGAAAATGAATTTCAATATCTAGGATTTACATGAACAAACAAATTATCCTTGAAACCAACAGTTGATAGACGTATAGCAAAAACATTCAGAAATATCTGGGGAAGCTTAGATCGTTAAGAACAAAATGCTTCATCTCTATCAAAGGCGCTTAGACAATATTTTCGTATACACATTTCCTCACATTACATGGTTATTTCCCTTCTTCTCTCTGCTTCCAGAGTCACAACAACAACTATTGCAGTAGAAATTTCGAGCTGATCTTCGACGGGTGCACCGTTTTCCCTTCATTTTTCTTTGTCTTTTGCTTCTCCTTTTTTCTTTTTCTTGCTTCTCCTTTCCTTTTTTCTGTCCTTGAAACGCTTCACAGCGTTCTCCTTCGCTTCTCTTTCTCTTCGTTTTTTCGTTTACTTGCATCTTCCCAAATTTCTGAATTTTATACGATATTTTTTGTTCTTTTTTCTTTTTGTCTCTGTATTTACTCTCTCACAGCCACGCGAGCACAGTCGATACTCTGTATAATCGTGTTTGTAGTTACTGTAAAACTTATCGCAATTATGTTGTGTTTAACACTTAAATATCATAATTTCTCCTTTACTTCTTAATGAGAGTTGCCAATTTATATCTTTGACGACTGATCAAGATGTGTAAAGTGAATAAAAATAATTTAATTTGAACAATTTGAATATTTTGTATCGAAATTTTGCTTTATTTTAAATCGAGTCCTGATAATTTAGAATTTAAACCAATTACATTACAAAAAGAAAATTAGTTTATTTTATATTTCGATTGCAAAAATTCAAATCTAAAATAAACTTGAATTACAATGTAAGAAAACTTAAGTTTTTTAAATTTAAATTGTTTTTAATTAATTCTTACACTTAATAAGAACGGCTTTTTTGAATATAAACTTATTACATGTAGTTTTGCATCGATCAAAAAACAATTTGTTCCAAAAAAATGTTCTAAAATTTATAGTATTTAATTTTATCTAACTAATTTCCATCCTGTAATAGAAGTAGTTTTATACATATGAAAAACGTTTCTTTGTCTTATAATACAATCATGAAATTTCAAATCATAAGAATAATTGTCAACCTGAATTTTTCTTACCTTAACCTTAATCTGATTCATTCAATATTCTTTTGTGTAATTATTCTTAATAACGCACGTTTCGCCATAAACAAGACCACAACAAACATTATAAAACATAGACAAAGCCGCAAAATAAGTATCTTATTCATAAGGACATAATATAGATGCATAAATATTTTTTTCATTTGTTTTTCCTTCACTATCAAGGTAACTGACGAGAAACACATGCAATAATCCAAAGTAAAAAACAAAGAGACAAGTCATTACTATATTTTGCTCTTCCGCGGTTATACATACACAAAAGTTAATCTTATGGCTGGTGTGGCGAAATTATTTGATGGACATATTCTCAATAAATCAAATAAAGAAGTTGATCTTTATGGTAAAAAATATAAAGGAAAAATAATTGGTCTTTATTTTAGTGCTCATTGGTTTGTTTAATTTGTTGTCTTTTTTTTAAATTAAATATTATTCGAATATTTTATCTTAGGTGTCCACCATGCCGTGCTTTTACTCCATTATTAAATGAACTTTATAATGAATATCATAAAGAAAAGAAATTTAAAATTATTTTTATAAGTTGTGATAATGATGAAAAATCATTTAATAGTTATTATAAAGATATGCCTTGGCTAACATTAGATTTCAACGAACGAAAGAAAAAAGAAGAATTATTAAAAAAATTTCATGTTAATGGAATTCCAAAATTAGTTTTACTTGATGGTGATTCAGGAAAAATTATTTGTACTAATGCAACAGAACAAATTTTATATATGGATCCTGAAGGAAAAAATTTTCCATGGAAATCAAAAAAATAGAATCAATCATTTAGATTTTAATTTTTTTAATGTAACGTGTTACTTTTTCGAAATAAATACATAGAATAGGATTAGTTATGCTGCACATGACTTTTTGTATATCCGATGATGTGAACATGTTATGAATAGTACAGTTTTAATTCTTCGAATTTATACATGAGCGTATTTCGTGCAACCTTAAAAAAATCTTTCGAATATCGTTAATTGAAGGATCTACTATTTCTCAGAAGTCCACGATAATAATTAGAATTATTGTAAACGGTCGTATATGATATCAGTTATCATTGTATTCAAAAATGCCTCTTATCAGCGACGGGGGGATGGCTTTCTTTTCCCCTTTCCTCCGTAAATAGAAACATGCAATTCATATTTATTAACATAATACTTATTGTCAAAATCGTTAATATCAATTTAAATAGAAAGCATAGAATTGATTTTCTTAAATTTATACTTATCATTGTAATTGTTATCGTGATTAATCTAAATAGAATAAAACAGATTTTATTTTGTAAAATAATCTTACCGTTATTATTCTTCTTGAAATTGATCTAAGTAAAAAGAATATAACTATTTCATATCAACTGGTTGGAAGTTTTCAATCTCATGTCGATTCAACAAAAATTACACGATTTGAAAGAGTATAAAAATAGAAACAACAAGGATCATTCGTTCTCTCTATATCTCCGTCTCTCTGAATGAGCTTTCTTTCCATTATTTCATTTTCATCGTTCTGTTTGACATGCATACGAACGTATAAGCTTGTACATATATTATATGTCTGGTTGATAGCGAAAGACAAAAAAATCTTGCCATACTGCTCGTAATGATGATGATATCTTTGTTTAATTCGCAAACAATTGCTAATTGAAAAATTCTTCTGAATAAAAATAAGACACTTATGCAGAATCATATTGGATCATCATATTGAAAGAAATATTTATTTAAAAACTGAATATTTGAAGCCTTAGCTATCGTTCAAATATATTTATTGAGTTTCTAGTCATTTTATTTTCTTTATTGATTCAAAAAGCCCATTTCTATTGTTATTACTTCTATTGAAATGTTCAAGATCAATATTTTTCCTTTTCTTCTCTCAATTATCCGTGTCAATGTTCGATAAGAGATCTTATCAGAAAAGAACATCTGTGTTGCTTGACAAACACATATGCTGATACAAAGAATAATGGTGTTAATCAAAAAGTATTGTTATTATCTTTTACAATGTTCCTGCTATCCTATGTCTGAAATTCGACTCATAACGTGTACAATGATTTTCATAAACTCTCTACAATTCTAGATCCGAGTCAACTGAACAGACATTGTGTTCAAACAGATTCTCGATAAGAAAAATCACCGAACATCATTGTTATGTCTTCTACTACACTAGGTTGACAATTTTTTTTCATTCGTTCTCATTTAAATTTTCTTCTTTCTTAAAATAGTATTACTTGCTAAAAATTTTTATGTCGATCAATACTCGTGTGATTATTGAGAAAGCGAAACACAAAGACGAATGGGAATGTTTTACTATTTGCTTCATTGAAATAATTATATTTTTGGAAACAAAATAATACATGAAATTGTCTCGATCATTTTCAATCTTAAATAGGATTTCTTAAAACACTTTTTGTCAACAAAAGTTGTTGCGATGCTTTTATCTATTTTTATTTTCTTACATGTTTAATGGCTTGCATATGTGCACTTGGATCTGCATGGAGAAGATGTAAAAAGAATACAGCAGTCATTTATCATGTGATGAATAATATTACAATCGTCTTGAATAGAGATCAATTGAAATTCATAAAAACAATCGACTAATTTCGAAAACATATCATAAGAAAACGAGTGATTTATTCAATATAATCAATAAATAAAAATGCACATTCTGTGGAAATTCACAAATTAAAATGATATCACTCTAGCTGTTTGAACATCAGATTAGTTCTATTCTTTCAGAGGAGTAAAGATTAGCCCAGCTCAGTACAACTATGTAATAAATTGAATAAGATCGCTTCCTGTTTTCTGTGTTCAAATGTAATCAATAGCTTCTATATATGATAGCAGATGATAAAAGAAATACAGAGATACATTGATATCTCATATAATCCTTCTGAATAAAAATAAGACACTTACACAGAATCATATTTGATTATTATTTCGAGAAAAATATTTTTTTAATCGGCAAACGAAGTATTTCCCCTTTAGTTCTCCTGCAATGAATGCTTTCGATCATCGCACACTGTAAAAGAAAAAGGTATTTTACGGAACCAAAAAGGATCTGTCGGCGGGCACACGCTTCGAACTTGTCTTGGTTTCGCAAAAAGAAGGTTTCGTATGAAACCAATTCTGAACACTTCCAGTAAGTGGTTTCGTGGGAACAGTTTCGTACTAAACCTTTCACACCACCTGAAAAAAGGTTTCGTACGTGCTCTTTCGCACTGAGCCTTTTTTTTGTCATCGATCCAATAACTGATGAGGGAACCTCCAGAGGTATTCAAGCGGTTTAATCTGCACCTTGCATCCGTAAGTTGATCTCATTTGGGTATGAAAAGCTAAATAGAATTTGTGCATGAATTCTATTTAGCCTTTCATACTTCAATAAGATCGACTTACGGATGCAAGGTGGAGACTAAACTACTTGAATATCTCTGGAG